TGCTTCCCCTCCCCCACCCCAGACATGAGGTGAACCCCCGGTGCGATTACTGCTAATCGAACTCGTTTCCCATCCCCCCGCCAGGACCACTCGAACTGCAGTCGTCGCTGGCCATTTGTGATCGTCTCTACGGGCGGGGGGAGAAGAAAGCAAGCAAGAGAAAGAAGAGGTCCCGTTGACGTCTCGTGTCTGGTCCAAGATTGTCCATTTTCAGCCAAACTCGGTTTTCTTCAGCGGTGTTTGGACCAGCCTGTCCGTGCCGCACCCCCGCACCCAGGGCAGACCCCTTCTCGCCGCCGTCTTCTGTGTTGGGGTTGAAACCCACCACCTCGCCGCTGATTTCGGTGGGATCCGCAGTCACTTATGGGCCTTGTTTGACAAGCTACCACGCAGAGCTGGGGCTTCCAGTAATTCCTGGGGTGTTCTCGCTGATTCTGAATCTGATCCCGGGTGAAGTCGGGGGGAAAGTCTCCTACTGACGTCGATTAACATCTGGAGACGCGAGAACGTGAGAATTGCCGTTTGCTGGCTCGGGCCCTAGGTTGGTCTTGCCCCGTCTCTTGCATCCCATCGCGGCCGAGAACAGGAGATGCTATGAAGTCTCAATGCTGAAAGGAAGACGCTAGTCCAGACTCCGGCATTCAAGGTCGAATTTGGGGGCTGTGCCCCTCACTCCTGTGCTCAATAGCAACGGATGCCCCCTTTCCTCTAAGTCTCAGCTCCCTCCACATTTGGACGTCCCACGTATTAATGACACGCTGGGGGGGAAAAGAACTTCCTTGTGTTCATTCCAAAGCTACTCGTTTCATTTGATGACCCCTAGTTTTTGCTCTGCGAGAGAGTCAACGATCAATCCCTTCCGACTTACTCTTCACCATTCAGTATTGTTGTAACCGCTTCTCGTGTCCCCCCTCAAGCATCTCTTTTCTAAACAAGCCCTCGACTCTCTCATCTCTCCTCATATAGCTGAGGTTAAGGCCATCACCGTGAGGCTTGTGGCGAGGGTGGCCAACATCTGGAACGGGCTGCCCACGGAGGTGGTGCTCTCTCCGACCTTGGGGGTCTTCAAGAGGAGGTTGGACATGCACCTGGTTGGGTTGTCTACCCCCAGGGCAGGAGGTTGGACTCGATGATCTACTGAGGTCCCTTCTGACCCAAACAACCATGAAATCTATGGATGCCCCTGTATACCTCTCATCATCCTTGTTGCCCTTCTCCGGACCTTCTCATGAACTTCTTTTCCTAATTAAAGACCGTGCATCTGGATGGACTCTATTGTTTGCTGGCCTCCCACGGGCTGCAGAAATGAAAGATGTTTCTTGTACCGTCCCTTCTCTCCCTGTGTGTATGTTCACTTGCTTCACTTTTGTACAAAAGTAGACACCTGCTATCTGCACGGGGAAATGTAGCTACCTGCTTGATTGCACTCGGGAATATGCTCCCTGACGCAGGCAAGTTTAGAGTGGCCATCTGTCTGGTTTTATGGAGGACAGTCTGGCTGTCTTCTGTCCTCTGTTGACATGAAACCGGATACCTTTATGTCCTCTATTTTTCTCTTGCGATACCCAACCTTTCAACCCACAATTAAACTTTGGATTGTTTGTCTTCATTGGTTAATATATTTGCCATTAATTAATCCCGTGTTTATACTGGTTGGGCGAATGCCAACGAAGATCCTATTTGTCATGCTTCCTAATGATGTCCTGACATTACGGCTGTTGCTTGCCACCATTAAACATTTGTCTTCAAAATCAGTTTGACGTCACCCTTCATTCAAAACGCCCAAGCGAAAAATGTCCTTCAGCTCAGAACGGTTGAAAGAACACGATCACTGTGCATTAAATGCAACTGTCCTCTATTCTTGAGGGACCTCGGTGGCCACCCTAAATTTTTTGGTGTAAATAAACCCTCAGCAGAGCGCGGAGAGTTTGCTTTTTGCCACCTCATCTTGTTTAGTGTTTATATGAGTTCTCTTACAAAATCAGCCAGGCCTGCTAAAAATAAGCTTGTGTTTTATGCCTTTAGGAAATGATTTATTTAATTGATCCAGTTTCATTTTCTCTGTTCCCTCATGGCTGGCAACAGTGGTCTTGGAGGATGTGAACAGACACTAGATGTCACTCAAGGATTAAAAAAGGGAACCGAATCCTGCAGCTCCCAAGAAACAACCTTCATAAAGAAACTGCTGGGTTACCATGTTCACTGTTGGGCCATCATGAACATTTCCCAAGCAAAGAACTTGTCACCTGCATGAGAATACAGTTCTCACCTGCAGTCAAAACTTTCTGTGTCTTTTTTATCATATACAAAGGTTAGATGCTGTCTGTCTGCTATCTTGAGGAGTCCTTATATATCCACGCTGATTCTATTTGTTCCTGGGCACCAGAGAGCACTACCTGACAGTATCTGAAGATACATCCCCACATCACATACGCAGCTTGCAAGTCAAGCCTTCTCCCCTATCCTGGGCCTGGCCTGTCTCTACACGGTGAGCGCTCCAGCGAAGGGGCTGCTCCATTTGCACTGTGCTTAGCATCACTGGCCCATGGTCATGGTGAGGCCCAAGGCAGAGCAGGGGAACAGCCTTCCATCGCCTCTCAAGGACAGCTGCTAAAATGCCCTAGTGATGGCTCTACTCCATGGTCACATTTGGCAGCTAGTTGTATTTTGTTCTTCCATTTTCTTAAGGAAATATGGATGTTATTATGGATGAAAACCAAGGGAGACCATTAATAGGTGGAACAAATCCTCTGTCCCATCCAGTTATACTAAGTTAGATTCACCCAAGGTATTACCCGTACACCAATCCCTCTTACACATCAACTGAGCATTTACTGCACTCAGTACATTGCTGGTGTGTGCGCTACCCTGGGAGGATGGAAGTGAGCAATGTAAGCAACAAGCTAGAAGATGGAAAAAGGTGTTGGTTAAAGCAGGCTGCCAGCTACTTCAGCCTTGTTAGAAATTATTCTTATTTACCAAGCATGTGATTACATGCCCTCGGTGCTCCATAAAACAAATAGGACATGATCCCTCAAGGAGCAGCAGCCTCCAGTCCAGTGTTAACCAAGATGCAATGAGTGAGAGCGACAAACCATAGAGGGGGAAAGAGAGGATGAAGGTTATAATAATAAGATTACATGGCCACGTAGACTCACAATGCACATGGCACTGTCGTACTGCTGTCTCTTTATTATGTTTTTAATGGATGGGAGGAAAGGGGAGGAACAGAAGTTGGGGCAAAGGGCATGATGATATCAAAGCTGGTATCAAAGCAAAGCAAAATAAAAAGGAAGACTAAATAGAGCTTGAGAACACGTGGCACTAATGCCTGAACGGTGCTGAGCACAGCACTCTGCCTTGTACCCTCTGGCACTTCTCCCAGGCAGATCAGCGCGCACTCCCTCAGCCTCCTTTGCACCATGCTATTTATCCTGTTTGCACATCCTGCAGATTGGCCCTGTGTGGCCTCATCCGCAGAGAAAAAGCTGCGTCTCAGAGCAGCGTCTCCAAGGTACATTGTGGCTTTCCTGCAGAAGGGCTCTACAAACAGTGATGAGTCACTCCATCTAATGGCGCTGCATACGTGGAATACACAAAGGCAGAGCCTCACCTGCAAAAGTCTTACCAGACTGATAATGTTTAAAGGGGGAAGGGATCTAATGGCTTGGGATTGCTTCTCTGCCGAACAAATGGAACTGTTTTGTCTGTCCGCTCCTATCCTGGTATAGGGCAGCTAACCCACAGCAACTATAAGCTTGCATGAAACCAGCTGGCGTGATTTAGCTTCTACTTTGAGGGGAGTAGAGCAGACAGAGGCAAGCGTTACAGCCGGTCAGCAGTGAAGCGCTGCCACTCCAAAGCAGTTTGACTGTTCATCTGCCCATGCCATGCCTTTGCACAGCAAAACCATGGGCGGGTTACACTGATCACCCCAAGCAGGAGTCTGCAAAACCTTCCTGCTGCCCCCAGCCCACCATCAATTATTTGCGTGGCCTGTGCTGTAGATCACAGCTCAAAGGGCAGCTTTTGATTCTGTGCCCCTTTTGCCCCCAGGTGCAAAAAGACCTCCCAGGCTCACAGCTCCAAGTCCTGTCAGGTTTGCTTTGCTCTGTGTATGGGCTCAGTTGCCCTCTGCTCCACTTGCAGCCACCAGCAGTTGGGCAGGTTTATGTTTATGGAGCTGACTCAGATCTTGGTCCCAGGCATATTATTTTGTTCTTGGAGGGGTGCTCAGAGAATGCAGAGGGCACAGGACAGATGTGACCCCGGAACGGGAGCCAGGCATACTCAGAGCCCTTCTGCTCTCTTGAGTGCAATGGACTTCTCCCTAGTAATCATACAATCATAGAAAATGAGGGTGGAAGGAAGCTCAGGAGGTCACATCTAGTGCAACCCCCTGCTCCAAGCAGGACCAACCCCAGCTACATCATCCCAGCCAGGGCTTTGTCTAGCTAAGTCTTCATAACCTCCAAGGATGGAGACTGCACCACCTCCCTGGGTAGCCTGTTCCAGTGTTTTCCTACCCTCCTTGTGAGAAAGTTTGTCTTAATATCAGACTTAAACTTCCCTTGCTGCAGCTTGAGCCCATTGCTCCTTGTCCTGTCATCTGCCCCCACTGAGAACAGCCCAGCTCCGTCCTCTTTGCAGCCCCCCTGCAGGGAGGTGAAGGCTGCTATCAAATCCCCCTCAGTCTTCTCTTCTAATGTTATTGGGGAACCCCACGAAAGAAGCAAAGGAGCTGGACAATGTCCTCCTCCCCCGTTCCAGCCAGTAGAGAGGGGTGACTACTGCAGGGGAAGCATCCTGCATATCCCCAGGAGGAGCCGGCAGCGAGAGTGCAGAGCAGTGCTGCTGCAGTATCCAGCGCAAGCAGGGCACAAGGCAGCTCTGCTGACTCACTGTGAGGCACTGCCTCTGTCCACACTAATTATAGGCTGAGCGGCTTGATTCACTCCATGTACTATGAGCCATCAATCAGCCCTGCTTCCGCCAGGCTGCTTGCAAGCACACTGCTGACTGATAGTGGTCAGGCAGTGGGGGCACCCTGCATTTATCTTAATTACCCCACTCAAAGGCACTGAGCTGTCCATTGAGCTGACCTATGCAAACCCTTGGTCTTTAATCCATTCCCCTTGTTCTCCACCCTGCCTCTGTGGCTAGCTCAGCATACATCTGCTTACTCGACTGCAAGTTTTAGGGGGACCAGCCTGCTCCTTGCTCTGTGCACGTACAGCATTTAGCAGCCGTAACGCTGAGTGGGGAGGAGTGATGGGGAGAGGGGGCTCTCCACGTAGCATAACACACAGAACCAGGATCCTAAGGCCAACGTTTTAGTTCTGTTCTCTCAGGTTATTTACAAAATTTGCATGTGGGTGGAAGCCGATCTCTGCAATTTCATTCATCTGCACCAAGGAGGAGACACATTTGTGAACAAAATGCAGAGCTTTGCCTGTGTCAGAATAGTCCTGTTGCTAAGGCAGAGACTCTAGACAGACAGCGAAATCCTTCAGGCTTTTTTTCAGTCCTCTCTGGAGCCATTTGAGCTCCTGGGAGTCTGGCATGACTAAGGAGTGCAGCGTTTGACCCTGCAGCTCTTGCCTCGAGCTTCATAAGTTGATTTTACCGCTTCCTGTGTGTTCAGTGCCGTTCCAAAATGTCACAACGTGCTTGTCCCTCTTCAGCCTTCATGATCTGTTAGTCCAACACCACCAAAAAAAGCATGCTGGCCCGCCAGTAAAAAAAAAAGCCAAAAGCAAGAGCCTTTCAAAAGCAGCCAGTCATTCTGGACACACTTTAAAGGCACCAGATTTTGACAACGTGGGCAAGAGGAACTTCAGGACCTCTGTTTCCTGTTTGACACCAGAAATAAAGCCACCCCAAACCGGGGTTTTAGGTCCAGGGCAGAGAAGCTTATTTCAGATGAGAGACAACCAGGGAGTTGACAAGGCGCCAGGGACGTGGGAGACAAGTGCCACCTCGCACCTGTCACATCCAGCTGGCGGACCCCTCTACCCCAGCTCAGAGCCTGGGTCTTGATATTTTTCCAGAGCGGATTGATCAGAGCAGCGGCCCTCAACCTTTTCGGACTCGAGGCACCCCTGGTTAGACTCAGGGCACCCCTTGAAAATGCAAGCTCTTAACTTTCACTTGTTTTTTGACTACAGAAAAATAATGGAGCCATTCTTTCACTGCAAGGAGCTCAGAAAGACCACAGCAGGTGGAATGCTCTTACCCCTATGCATTCCTACTGGAAATCTCTGGAT